TTTTACTTCCATTGCGAATGATAATAGTTCCTCACAGTATTAGAAAAATCTTTACAACTCTCTCCCAGCCTCGATAATCACCAAGCCTCGGTGTGAAAGAGTAAAATATCATGATCTGATGATCCCATATATCAGGTGGAAACATCATAAAAAACAGCTGTCTGTCCTAGCTCACTGGCACAGAAAACTCTGTGGCTGTGTCTACACTTGACACTTACATGCGACTTCTGCTATCAGAATATGAAGATCGCATTGAAAAGACAGGTGTAGACGCACAAAAGTCGAATTGTGGTCGGATTGTGTTCAGATCTGGCTGACCTCTTCAGTAGGTGGTCAGGGATGCATTGTGTGCTGTTTTCTCCTCAGCCTGGACACAATCAGGCTACCGAAAGCGCATACAGTGGGTGACGTCAGCAGCACCCTGCCCCACAAGTCTCCAGAAAACGTGTGTTTTGGGAGCGAGAGGCACGTTTTCATTATAATGTTGGAGGAAATATGTTCATAGCGTATGACGAATATGTTTGCTGGCCTCATAAATGCCAGCCAGCTAGCTAATATTTAGAAACCTTTTATTTTTTTTCTTGCTAGCTACAGCAGTCAGAAGGCTACTTGGCTACAGTAGTTAGCTACTGCCATCAAGTTGTTGTTGTGTTATTATCATATTTTGTATGCATACTGGCATGCATACTGGCATTTTGAGTATGCATACTGGCATTTGAATATAGCGTGGGAAAAGGGAATCTGGACACAATGTGGACATGGTGGACACATTTAAATGTAAGTGTAGGCACATGAGGTGTTCAGAATTTCATGATCAGAACTCCATGATCAGAATACAATGCTGCATGAACTGTCAAGTCTAGACAAGGCCTAACTGCCCAGAATAGGCTAGTTGATACAATGTTGCAAGTTCAATAGTGACAGCTTAGGGCTGGACCCAGTTGATACGAATACGTACAGTTGAAGTCGGAAGTTTACATTCCCTTAGGTTGGAGTCATTAAAACTTGTTTTTCAACCACTCCATACATTTCTTGTTAACAAACTATAGCTTTGTCAAGTCAGTTAGGACATTTACTTTGTGCATGACACAAGAAATTTTTCCAACAATTCTTTACAGACAGATTATTTCACTTATAATTCACTGTATCACAATTCCAGTGGGTCAGATCTTTACATACACTTAGTTGACTGTGCCTTTAAACAGCTTAAAAAATTCCAGAAAATGATGTCATGGCTTTAGAAGATTCTGATAGGCTAATTGACATCATTTGAGTCAATTGGAGGTGTACCTGTGGATGTATTTCAAGGCCAAACTTCAAACTCAGTGCCTCTTTGCTTGACATAATGGGAAAATCAAAAGAAATCAGCCAAGACCTCAGAAAAAAATTGTAGACCTCCACAAGTCTGGTTCATCCTTGGGAGCAATTTCCAAACGCCTGAAGGTACCACGTTCATCTGTACAAACAATAGTACGCAAGTATAAACACCATGGGACCACGCAGTTGCCATACCGCTCAGGAAGGAGATGCGTTCTGTCTCCTAGAGATTAACGTACTTTGGTGCGAAAAGTGCAAATCAATCCCAGAACAACAGCAAAGGACCTTGTGAAGATGCTGGAGGAAACAGGTACAAAAGTATCTATATCCACAGTAAAACGATTCCTATATCGACAAAACCTGAAAGGCCGCTCAGCAAGGAAGAAGCCACTGTTCCAAAACCTCCATAAAAATGCCAGACTACGGTTTGCAACTGCACATGGGGACAAATATTGTACTTTTTGGAGAAATGTCCTCTGGTCTGATGAAACAAAAATATAACTGTTTGGCCATAATGACCATCGTTATGTTTGGAGGAAAAAGGGGAAGGCTTGCAAGCCGAAAAACACCATCCCAACTGTGAAGCACTGGGGTGGCAGCATCATGCTGTGGGGGTGTTTTGCTGCAGGAGGGACTGGTGCACTTCACAAAATAGATGGCATCATGAGGAAGGAAAATTATGTGGATATATTGAAGCAACATCTCAAGACATCAGTCAGGAAGTTAAAGCTTGGTCGCAAATGGGTCTTCCAAATGGACAATGACCCCAAGCATACTTCCAAAGTTGTGGCAAAATGCCTTTCGGACAACAAAGTCAAGGTATTGGAGTGGCCATCACAAAGCCCTGACCTCAATCCTGTAGAAAATGTGTGGGCAGAACTGAAAAAGCATGTGCGAGCAAGGAGGCCTACAAACCTGACTCAGTTACAACAGCTCTGTCAGGAGGAATGCGCCAAAACTCACCCAACTTATTGTGGAAGGCTTGTGGAAGGCTTCCTGAAACGTTTGACACAATTTAAAGGCAATGCTACCAAATACTAATTGAGTGTATGTAAACTTCTGACCCACTGGGAATGTGATGAAATAAATAAAAGCTGAAATAATTCATTCTCTCTACTATTATTCTGACATTTCACATTCTTAAAATAAAGTGGTGATCCTAACTGACCTAAGACAGGGAATTTCTACTAGGATAAAATGTCAGGAATTGTGAAAAACAGAGTTTAAATGTATTTGGCTAAGGTGAATGTAAACCTCCGACTTCAACTGTATACATGCATAGTAATCATTTGATATTGAACTGATTATGGCAGTAGGGAGATTATGCAATAGTCATGTAGATTATGCAACAGTCAAAACTGTTCGCTGCTCTGGCACCCCAATGGTGGAACAAGCTCCCTCACGACGCCAGGACAGCGGAGTCACTCACCACCTTCCGGAGACATTTGAAACCCCACCTCTTTAAGGAATACCTGGGATAGGATAAAGTAATCCTTCTACCCCCCCCTTGAAATGAGTTCCATGCACTCATTTCTTCAGCGGCCAAAGAATCACAGTGTTTCAATGTGTCCATATGGCAGAGGCTTGTGCTCTCACATTAGTTGAAATTCATTATCATTTTAATTCAGATTAACCACATGACAATGATTTTAACCTCTACGGAATCGGTGTCCCTATACCGGGACGGTTGAGCTAACGTGCACTAATGTGGTTAGCATGACGTTGTAAGTAACAAGAACATTTCCCAGGACATAGACATCTCTTATATGGGCAGAAAGATTAATTTCTTGTTAATCTAACTTCACTGTCCAATTTACAGTAGCTATTACAGTGAAAAAAGACCATGCTATTGTTTGAGGAGAGTGCACAACAACAAAAAATTTTATCACGGCAACTGGTTTGATACATTCACCTCTGAAGGTAAATAATGTACTTACATTGTCACGACTTCCGCCGAGGCTGCCTCCCCTCCTTGTTCGGGCAGGTTTCGGCGTTCGTCGTCACCGGCTTACTAGCTGCTTCCGATCCATTTATCATCACTCCACATGTCTTGTCTAATTAATCACACACACCTGGTCCTTATCCCCAATTAGTCATTGTATAAGTGTTCCCTCTGCTTCCTTGTCTGTGTGGGTGATTGTTTGTAGTGAGCTGTGTGTAGCTCGGTTGAGCTACCCTTACCTTGTTGTTGCCAGGGTAGATATTACCCCTGTGCCTGAGTTTTGTTGTCGCATGCTTGCGCAACTGTTTATCGACGGAATAAACTCTTTGGATGCGTATTACTCTCCTGCGCCTGACTCCTTCTATCACACGCATCACATATATTCAGTAATCTTGCTCTGATTTTTCAACCTGAGGGTCCCAGAGATAAAATGTAGCATAGTTTTGTTTGATAAAATCAATTTTTATATTCAAATGTAGGAACTGGGTTCTAAAGTTTGAACCCCTGCTGTTTCTGGCCCCACACCCACCCCGCCTGGCCAGTGTGAAGGTTAGTGTCTTTTCTGTAGGGAAGCTAATTTTCCATCATATTTGACCTTCCTGGGAGTGTGTAAACTTCAATTTTTTTATTACCATATCATTTTTGTATGTTCTCTATAGTTATGTACTTCAAAATGTATCAATTGAACAATTCGGCACATTTGGGCAGACTTGATACAACATTTTCTGATGTATTGCAATGCTTCACTGGATCAGTTTGAAATTGATACCATCTAGTGGCCAAAATCTAAATTGCGCCTAAACTACAATATTATATTATGGCCTTTCTCTTGCATTTCAAAGATGATGGAACAAAAAGTAAATCCCAAAAACGTATGTTTTTTTGTTTGTATTATCTTTTACCAGATCTAATGTGTTATATTCTCATACATTAATTTCACATTTCCACAAACTTCAAAGTGTTCCCTTTCAAATGGTATCAAGAATATGCATATCCTTGCTTCAGGTCCTGAGCTACAGGCAGTTAGATTTGGGTATGTCATTTTAGGCGAAAATTGAAAAAAAGGGTCCGATCCTTAAACAAAAACGTTAGTATTGAAATGAAACTGTTCCACGTAAATACGAATATGAAAATAATTATAACTGGTTGTAGATCAGTAGAAATGGTAGGAAAAATTGTAATCTTCCCCAAACTTGAAACTCATGAGCCGCCTATGGTCTTTACTATAACACCCATTTAAAAAATGTGAACACGCGCAAGCATAGGAGATCCCGTGAAAAAAATGCCTGCCTATGGAAATCAAATGCTGTTTCCAACTGATTCGTTTGGCGCCAGCCATGGAAATGTGCTGTATAACTAAGCAATTAGGCACAAAGGGGTGTGGTATATGGCCAATAAAACAAGGCTAAGGGCTGTTCTTAAGCACAACGCATCGCGGCGTGCCTGGATACAGCCGTTAGTTGTGGTATATTGGACATATACCACAAACCCCAGATGTGTCTTATTGCTATTATAAACTGGTGACCAACATAATTAGAACAGTAAAAATTCATTTTTGGTCATATCCGTGGTATACGGTCTGATATACCACAGCTTTCAGCCAATCAGCATTCAGGCCTCAAACCACCCAGTTTATAATATATAATTATTGCCTGTATATAATTCTTGCCTGTAATTTGTTTCCATTTGAAGGAATTTCATGATGCCAGTGATCAATTCTTTGACTTATACCTTGGGGAAGATGAGGACACATCTCAGAGAGTAGAAGCTGGTGATCTAGAGGCAGAGCCAGCTCAACATATGGATGCTGCTGTAGCAGGTACTTCAATAATATTATAAATAAATGATATAATTTATAATATATTGTATCTCTGAATCATCGGCAACCTCAGAGTATACTTTATCACTTGTTTTCCATTCACATGAAAACACTGCATGTATGCTTATTTGGGAGTTGTAATTGTATTGTCCTAACCAGTGGTGTAGTGGAAGGTAAACTCACGGAAACGCTGGTTTTCGCACCTTTTATATTTGCATGAGCGTTTACCCAACTATTGCTGAAAAATGCAATGAAAATATAGGGAGCATTACTTTATTCACTGTGAACGGTGATCAGCATTTACCCACATATTTTTTTACCACATCACTGACTGTGACTGTCAAGTAAGGACAGTGATTCAAACATGTCCTCTTGCATTACAGGGAGAATTATGTTCCACTTGTGTTTTCATTTTTCCAGTTATAATTGAATTCGGTCCTTTTTTGTCCTTTTTGCAGAACCTGTGCCACCCAAAAATATAAAGATTGATCATGTCAGCAGTGAATCAGTGTCTCTGAGTTGGGACAAACGTGTTGGTATTCCTGAGGCATGTCTCGTGATCTGTTCCTGTGATGGTAAGGAAGTCCAGAAGAAGACAACAGTGTTCAACATGCTGCTCCAGTCTGAGTCCAGGTGTCAAGTACTCCTTCCACGTTTCTACGGTGCTAAAGAACGGGACCCAAAGCAATTCGGCTGTGACATATGCCCGCACAAGTGAGTGTAATAAACATTTTCACTGTCTTAATGTAACTGGAAGATGTTTTCCAATGGATTGATTGACAACCAAGGAGGTCAGATCTGAAACCGTTCTCTTTTCGTCTACAGAAACCCACCTAGGGAGTTTGCTGCTGGACCTGGGTTTTGTGCAACGCTATATAGATAAGCTCACCCTGAGCATTGTGCTGCAGATTGATGAGAAGACAGTTGACGATGAACCAGCTCAGACTCACTCAGCCCTGCCATGGACTTTCCTAAAGAGGTTAATGATGGTTAATGTAACAGCTAGGAGTGTGAAATGTACCTCATCAGGAGGCGAGGCAAGTTGTGATGCAGACTTAGATCTGGAGAGCCTGGTTGATAACAAATGTTGTAAGCCCCTTAGACGTTGTTAATGTTCGTTTTCAGTGCCCCTGCTTCTCCCCAATTGTGACACAGAACAGTGCACGCTCATGCTTTGGGCAATGCGAGACATTGTCAAGAAGTTCAGACCTCATTCATTGGAAGACCCAAGAGGATTTGTTGAAGACAGGATTGTTCTGTCTGACCTCCCTATGGTATCTTTTGTCAGATTGAGCAAATGCTCCTTGTCCAAGTCGCAGATTCTGAACAAGCTGAACAAGCTGACATCTTTGGTGAACCGGTCACTGTAGCTAATCTAAGAGGGGACATCAGTTCCTTTGAGCCCCAGTACTCCTTTCTTTGCCAGACCTCTGCAGCACTCTTTGTGTTCTTCGACAACCTGGACAACAAGTACAAGCTACTGAACAGCCAACACACCAAGGCACAGCTGTTTCTAGTGGGTAACCCACAGAGCAAGCGCTTCAGCATCGATGCTTTAAAGAAAACAGCAGCAGAGTTGAAATTGAAGAAAAGCAACATCATCCTGAATACCAAACAGATGAATGATGCAGACTTTGTGAAGAACTTGCGAAACACAGTTGGTGAGGTGATCAAGAGTTCAAAGTCCAAAATGCCATTGGAGCAGATGGCTGAAGTGGCACACGAGCTTGGGATTTTGGTTGATGAGGACTGCCAAGAATGTCAGAGTGCCTAGCAAAAAGTTAATGGAATTACCTCAAACATACAAGACACATCACAGCATAAGGAAAGTCAGCTTCCCTTGCGAGGACAGATCTGGAAGGAGCTGGCACGTCTAGAGAAGGAGGAATGCAGACTGCGGAAAGCTGGGAACCATAACCTAGAGATGTACAAAAGTGAACTCCAAACAGAGAAGAGACAACTTAGGGAACAGCAAAGATTGTATGACATGTCAGAGGCAATGACCTGCTTCATACATGGAAAATCAAGCACGGGGCTAGAAAGGTCCTACTTTTTGAAATGGATGAGATTGAACCTGGACAAAATGGCTCGTAAAAACATTTCTGGCCTTAGGGAGCTGTACAAAGAAAAGTCTCAGAATTTGTCTGAAAACCAAGATAAAATTGCATACCTTGACAGACAGATTTCAAACAGTTATTTGGGAACTGAACATTTCCTACGTGAAATGGGTCAACTGTATGAATCTGCAGTCTTACTGTGAGAAACTGAAGAGTCATGGCAACAACTGCAGCACCTGCCAAACTATGTGCTGAGCTGCTTCTGGATGGGTTTCCTCTGGAGCTGGTGGATGGAGACGCGTCCAACATACCTCTGAGATGGGTGAGTGATGTGCTGCATCAGCTCAATGTCTTGGTGCAGCCAAAGAACAAGATCCTGGTGGTAACCGTTCTAGGTGTTATTTATTTATTATTTATTTATTTTATTTTATTTTATTTTATTCAGAGCACAGGAAAATCTACTCTACTGAACACTATGTTTGGAGCGCAGTTCACAGTCAGTAGCGGCAGATGCACAAGAGGGGCCTTCATGCTTCTCATCAAAGTCAAAGACGACTTCAGGAAAGAGCTGAACTGCGACTTCATAGTGATCATCGACACAGAAGGACTGAAGTCTCCAGAGCTAGCGCAGCTGGATGACAGCTATGAGCACGACAATGAGCTAGCCACATGCGTTGTCGGGCTGAGTGATGTCACAATGCTCAATATTGCCATGGAGAACTCAACCGAGATGAAGGACATCCTGCAGATCGTCGTCCACGCTTTTCACCGAATGAAAGCGGTGGGAAAGAAACCCAAGTGCCATTGTCCACCCGAAAATGGCAGATCTCGGCACATGACAAGAACATGAGAGACTGGAAAATGCTCTTGGAGCAATTGAATGAGATGACCCAGGCAGCAGCCAGAATTGAAAACCAGGAGGAGAACAAGAGCTTCACTGATGTGATGGAGTACAACCCATAGACTGGTAACTGATACATCCCTGGACTTTGGCATGGAAACCCACCAATGGCACCCGTCAATGCTGGGTACAGTGAGTCAATCTACGAGTTCAAAAAGGACATGATCGAGGTCTTCCAGAAATGTGAAGACTCTGGAAACAACATCATGACGTTTCTGGAGTGGACAAAAAGCCTGTGGAATGTTGTAAAGTACAAAAACTTCATCTTCAGCTTCAGAAACAGCCTGGTGGCAAAGCCTACATGAAGCTGTGTGTCGAGTTCAATGAGTGGGAATGGTCATTCAGAAAACACATGCACACATGGATGACAAATGCTGAAACAAGGATTTCCAACTTTGGAACAATAGCAATGAAATCTCAGACAGGAGATGTGAGGGATTTTCTCTGTCAATTGAAAAGTGAAGCCTCAATGGAACTTGTCAAATGGGAGAAGACCATTCTTGACATCCTTACCAAGTACTATGAACAGACAGAGGGCCATGTCTATCTTGTGGAGAGATACAGAGAGGATTTCGCAAACAGCACCAAAAGTATCAAAATGGAAATGGAAAACTCTGTAATGAGTAAACTGAAAGCTGCTGTTGAGATCCGACAAGGAATGAAAAAGATTGACACAATCAAGGAGAACCACACAGCCGTGATGGAGGAGAAGGTGCTGAAGTTGCTTGAGGACTGCAGAAAGAGCCGCTCTGAGCGGTCAGTGAAGGACCTTGATGGAGAATTTGAAAAGGTGTGGGAGGAAACAGTGCAGGAGCTCTCCTTTACAGGATTAAAGAAACGAGACGTTGTGAGTGATGTTTTCAACCAGCTCCGGTCTAACATGATGCAGAAGGGAAGTTCAGTGAATGAAAAGCTGAACAAAGAGAAACTTGAAGATCATGGAAAAGAACCCTTCATAGTCACTCCAGATGGGATATTCAAGAGATTAGTAAAGGGGTTTTACATGGATGAGCACACAAGAAAAACCCAGGTCATGGCAGACAACCTTGTAGAGATGTGCAAACAATTTGTGAATGAGAAGATCCAAAATAAAACAGATTACAATGACACATACATTCAAGAGATCATACATATGATTGAAGAGAAGTTGAACGCCAACAAAAATCTTGGGACAAGCGATAAAGTCTCCATTAAATTGTACATTTCTGGGTTTGCATCCAGGGCTTTCCAATCAATGCATGAACAGTTCATACGTGACAATAATCCTTGTTGGTGCCTTGAACAGTTCAAAGGTAAATACTTGGCAGACTTCAAAGACTTGTTCAGTGGACAAGATCAGTGTCGGAAGAAAGCTGGGGAGTTCACCAACCTGTGTCTCAAACCTGCAGTAGAAGTCTATTTTATGTTGTCAGTTCCCTGGGTCCGGAAATTGTTGATGAAATGCTGACAGGACAGAATGCCTTTCAATTCAGCTCTCTGAAATTGTTCCAGTACTCTATCTTGAAGCAACTACTGTCAGAATTCAACTTGGCCAACTACGTGAGCTACACTTGTCGCTATGAAGCCTTTGTCAATACTTGGATTTTGGGTGAAATGTTAAAACGATTTTCACAAGGGGAAATTTGTTTTGAGTTAGAAGACTGTCAACTCAAAGGGATCATCAGAGTCATCACTGAGGCAATCAGAAAAGCACAGATGAATGAGAAGGGCCACATTTAGCAATTCATTCAGAACATATGCAGGGTACTTGGGGAGAAGCTGGTCATTCCCCAAGATGCATTGGAAGCCACCATGATCCTCAACAATTCCAACCAGGAACAGTTTGCCTACTGGCTCTAAACATCTGTTGTGGAGATGGAACAGTCTCTGAGAGAGGAATTCCGAAATGCAACAGATGTAAGTTAGAAATTGGAACAGATGAGGATTAAACCACAGAATATCCTGTTCACAAGAGTGTTTGGCTGGGGGAAGCAGTGTCCATTCTGCAAGTCACCATGTGAGGCAGGAGGAGACGCTCACAATGATCACTGTGTTTCAATACACAGACCACAGGGACTTGGTCGTTACAGGTTTGATGTTTCAAAGGAACCTCGTGACTGATATCTGCTCCTCCTCTGTGTTCACTGAGAGTTCTTTCAAATGCTACGAGACAAATGAAAAATACCACCCTTTCAAAAAGTACAGAGACATTTTCCCCAACTGGCATATTCCAGTAGATCCCAGCACACAAGCCTCAGACTACTAGAAATATGTGAGTATGATCCATGCCCTGGAGATATCCCCCCTGCCTGGAAATTGATCACAAAGGAACAGGCAGAAAAGAGCCTTAGAGAGACTTTTAGCATTACTAACGCTTTGAGTCCCACGGTATCACCAGCACATTTTAGTGCTTCTAACCCCTTTTAAACATTGTGTGTTTGAGCTACAGATTGATGTTTTTTGCATTGGATTTGTCTATTTTTTCTGCATCCGCCAATACCAACCATTAGCCTGCGCAAATGAACGTGTGCTGAACTAGAGCAGTGTTTGTGAGACAAAGGTGGATCTCGAAAACGGTTCTTCTCACAAAAAACGTCTGTAATGCCTGAACGGTTTGAGCTATAAAACTATTATGACCCCACTATGAAAAGCTGAGACTCTCACGAACACGCACATGATGACGCTCACAAGCCACAGAAGAGCCATTAGAAGGTAAGGGTTCTTCTAAATAGAAGATCATTGGACATCCCAGGACATAGTGTCTATAATACTGTAATAAGCTCACATAGTTGCTGTCACAAACTCCAAACTCCACATAGTTATCACTGGAAATAATATGGTAAAACACTTCAATGTGAGGCTAAATATGAGAGCAGAGCAAGCAGATAAAATAAAGTAGTGAATTTCAGGTATTTCATCCAGGGATTCCCTGCGTCTGAAAAAGTTTTGAATTGAGAGTCCTATTCATCCTCTCGAAGAGGAATAGCATCTTGAAGAGTAATGATGTGTTGGGCCATAGTAAAATATATAAAAAAGTCATTGCCTGTAAGAATAATGGTCAGATTTAACACTAAACAAAGAAGATACATTTACGATAAAGAGGCTTAAATTAAATCGGTTTCTGTTTTAGGTTTTAGTTTACACAATCAAGACAAGGCATCTGCTTCATCACTAAGCAGAATAGTCTAATCGAAGAGCCACAAAATGGTGGCTGGAATGATCATCTGTTATACACTGTGCCTCAGCTTCTTTGCGTGAAAGCAATTCACAAAAGATACATCAGTCCTTGAACTCGATGTGTAACTATCAGTCTACTTTGGCAGGCACTGACAACTATCAACAAGGAATCTGTTTTCAGATGTGAACTGCAGAATATTACCTCTTGAAGTCAACACTTTCTTTTGAGAATCTTCCACATTTAAATAACAGTATTATTTACAGAGAATAATTGTCACATTTTGTTTTGTATTTGTACTAGTATTCATTTACAGTTTGGGGTTTTCATGTGGTGAAGAGGACTTATCATTAATTTTTCTGTAACATTGGGTTTGGTAAAATCAAGCATGGTCTGACCTTTTTTACTTAAACTTCTGTGATTCAGGAAAGTGTTGAGAAATAATTTAATTTGAAAATTGTGGTGTTCTCTGAGACTATAATACTTTTCTAAACTTTGCACTTTCCTAAGAGACTTTGAGATTAAATATTATATTGTGATATTGTCCTTGTGAAATATCAGTGCTTAGTTATTTGTAGTAACTGAATATTAAGATTAAATTGTGTACTTACAATACTAAACTCAGCAAAAAAAGAAACGTCCTCTCACTGTCAACTGCGTTTATTTTCAGCAAACTTAACATGTGTAAATATTTGTATGAACATAACAAGATTCAACAACTGAGACATAAACTGAACAAGTTCTACAGACATGTGACAAACAGAAATTGAATAATGTGTCCCTGAACAAAGGGGGGGTCAAAATAAAGTAACAGTCAGTATCTGGTGTGGCCACCAGCTGCATTAAGTACTGCAGTGCATCTACTCCTCATGGACTGCACGAGATTTGCCAGTTCTTGCTATGAGATGTTACCCCACTCTTCCATCAAGGCACCTGCAAGTTCCTGGACATTTCTGGGGGGAATGGCCCTAGCCCTCACCCTCCGATCCAACAGGTCCCAGACGTGCTCAATGGGATTGAGATCCGGGCTCTTCGCTGGCCATGGCAGAACACTGACATTCCAGTCTTGCAGGAAATCACGCACAGAACAAGCAGTATGGCTGGTGGCATTGTCATGCTGGAGGGTCATGTTAGGATAAGCCAGCGGGAAGGGTACCACATGAGGGAGGAGGATGTCTTCCCTGTAAAGTACAGCGTTGAGATTGCCTGCAAGGACAACAAGCTCAGTCCGATGATGCTGTGACACACCGCCCCAGACCATGACGGACCCTCCACCTCCAAATCAATCCCGCTCCAGAGTACAGGCCTCGGTGTAACGCTCATTCCTTTGACTATAAACGCGAATCCGACCATCACCCCTGGTGAGAAAAAACCGTGACTCGTCAGTGAAGAACACTTTTTGCCAGTCCTGTCTGGTCCAGCAACGGTGGGTTTGTGCCCATAGGCGACGTTGTTGCCGATGATGTCTGGTGAGGACCTGCCTTACAACAGGCCTACAAGCCCTCAGTCCAGCCTCTCTCAGCCTATTGCGGACAGTCTGAGCACTGATGGAGGGATTGTGCGTTCCTGGTGTTGCCATCCTGTACCTGTCCCGCAGGTGTGATGTTTAGATGTACCGATCCTGTGCAGGTGTTGTTACACGTGGTCTGCCACTGCGAGGACGATCAGCTGTCCGTCCTGTCTCCCTGTAGCGCTGTCTTAGGCATCTCACAGTACAGACATTGCAATTTATTGCCCTGGCCACATCTGCAGTCCTCATGCCTCCTTGCAGCATACCTAAGGCACGTTCACGCAGATGAGCAGGGACCCTGGGCATCTTTCTTTTGGTGTTTTTCAGAGTCAGTAGAAAGGCCTCTTTAGTGTCCTAAGTTTTCATAACTGTGACCTTAATTGCCTACCGTCTGTAAGCTGTTAGTGTCTTAACGACCTTTCCACAGGTGCATGTTCATTAATTGTTTATGGTTCATTGAACAAGCATGGGAAACAGTGTTTAAACCCTTTACAATGAAGATCTGTGAAGTTATTTGGATTTTTACAAATTATCTTTGAAAGACAGGGTCCTGAAAAGGGATGTTTCTTTTTTTGCTGAGTTTATAACCTGAAGTACACACAATCATCCTGATGCCTCTTACTGTCAGGGTTGGGGTCAATTCAATTTTAATTCCAGTCAATTCAAAAAATGAACCAAACTCCAATAAAGAAAATTCCTCATTGAAGTGATCTGTAATTGGAGTTGAAATGCAATTGACCCCAACCCTGCTAAATGTATTAGTATTTCCCACCAAACATATTCCATAATAAACGAATCACTTTCTTGTATAACATATCAATGGAAGATAATCTTAACAGTGAGTCCTTGAACTGGTCCAGTTTGTAAATGAGGAGGCACAGTCAACACTAGCTATGAATGTCTTTAAACAAAGTAGGCTACACCAACTGTAGTAAATATTCCTATTTAAAATGTATTCAATTATTATATATTTAGAGAAAAATTGCTTCCATTGAATACAACACAAAAGCAGCACATTCATTTTCAAGTGAGGGTCAATTAATTGATGTACTGGACTACCAGCTGAATATTTCAAATCAAGTTGCTTTTATTGCAGCGGTAACACAAACAACATGGCACAGCCATGAGAGAATGAAAACATAAAGGTCAAGTTTAATTAATGATATTTCATGTTGTAATTGTGCATGGTCCCTGTCAAATCAACATACTAAAATCAAAATAAACCATTACCTTCAGAAATACATAGGATATACAGTACTTTGGATGTTTTTGTTGATGATTTTCTTTTTTTTTTACCAAAGTAAAGTGCTTTCTGGTTCAGAACAATAGGTTAGAAATGGTATGCCTATAGGTTAAATAGGCCAGGCTAAGGTTTATAGTGCATAGCATAGCGGTTTTGATCACAGCTCACTGACAGCAGGGAGACGAGGATGACCATTATTTGTGTTTTTTTCCGTAAGGGTGACCATTAGCCTTCTGCTTATCCACGAAAGCCAGGGGGTCTCCTAGGGGCCGGCCCATCCGGATGTGAGCCAGCAGATCCTGGGTCATGTTGAGGGCGTTGCGGGAGGTGTAGAGGTCAGAGAGGTCAGAGTTCATCCCAGAGGGGACATACTCCCCACAGGTGGAGCCCCCAAGTCCTGGGGTACAGTCAACCTTGTAGGAGTAGTACAGGCTGCCATGATTCATGGGACACATGTCCTTTTGAAACCCCACATTAATGGGCCGGATAATGCACTCCCCCAGGAGGTCCTTTCACCACTTGTACCAGTGTTTGTCTTCATCGTATACAGCAAACTTTAGCTCGCTGGCCAGGGAGAGTTTGACGGTACCGAAGTCCGAAGTCTTTGTTCCAGGCGGGGTTGTTGTTGTTGTTGATGACAATGGTCTGCTTGCCCATTTTGTCCATGAACACCTTGACGGAACAAACCATATGTGAATAGAAAAAACAACAAAACGGGGACCCCACCACTTGTTTTGGTATATACACTATATGGCTAAAGGTATGTGGACACCTGCTCGTTGAACATCTCATTCCAAAATCATGGGCATTAATATGGAGTTGGCCCCCCCTTTGCTGCTATAACAGCCTCCACTCTTCTGGGAAGGCTTTCCGCTAGATGTTAGAACATTGCTGCGGGGACTTGCTTCCATTCAGCCACAAGAGTGTTACAGGAGGGGTTGCAGTTCCGGAGTGACCCACTAGGTGTCCTCCTCTGACAACCTTAGGCACCTCCTCACTCACAGTCTGGACTAATCATGATCCTATTGGTGTCACCTGTGTCTACCTGTTCACCTGTGTAGTTATGCCCTCACTTCCCTGTGTTCCCTTGCTCAGTTTTCTCTGCTAGTTTCTCGATGCCAAGCAGTATGAATCAGTGTCTGATCGTAAGACGTATGTACAGGTACTTGAGAAGTGTTCTCCCTGTTTCATTGTTATTTCAGTCGTGGTTAGTATTTCATATTTTTGCTGTCAGCCTGTTTTTGGAGACCTATTTGCTACGCCTTTATTTTATCGTGATAAGTCCGTTATTTTGTATCCTGGCTTCAGGACCACCAGTAAAGATCCTTGTTTCACCATCTCTGCCTACTGTCTATCCTGCACCGCACCTGGGTCACACCTCACACCAACTGATGTTTGGCGATTAGGCCTGGCTCGCAGTTGGCGTTTCTATTCATTCCAAAGGTGTTCGATGGGGTTGAGGTCAGGCCAGTCAAGTTCTTTCACACCGATCTCGACAAACCATTTCTGTATGGACCCCGCTCTACTGCTAATGTTTGTCTACGGAGATTGCATGGCTGTGTTCTCTATTTTATACACCTGTCAGCAACGGATGTGGATGAAATAGCCGAATCCACTAATTTGAAGGGGTGTAGCTGAGGGATGGAGCTATGGAAATGTAAATCACTTTAAATCCTAGACTTTAGCATTAAAGTCCACTTAAAAACAAACTTTATAGTAAGTTAAAATAATAAAATAAAATATATAATACCTTGACGAAGCCGTCGGTCTCGGAGAAGACGTCCCCCCAGAGGCCAGTGGCTTTCTTCACGGTGACTGTAAGGTGGGCCAGGCCCTTCTCCTGCGGGCAGCACTGGCTGGTCATCTCCTTGCTGGGCTGGCACACACACTCGCATGAGTCGTGGGCACTGGATCTGGAGCCTCCCTTGCACTTTCCAGAGCAGTGCTTGACAAGAGAGTATTCCAGGATGTAGTCCTCCACAGCCTTCTTCAGCCCCGCCCTCTTCTTGGCATGCTTCACCAATAAGTGGAGGGGGTTGAGGGAGTAGTTGATGACGTCAGGGATGGTCTTCAGGCTGCTCGCCCAATCAGCGAAGGCCTTGGCGTTTCCACCCGTTTTGGAGAAGAGCAGGTCGGTCGTCCCGTCCGTCTGTCCCCCCACCACCTCGGTAAACCTGTTTGTTTGTTTATCATTAGTCATGTTTTGTCTAACACGAGGACCACATAGGAAATTAGTGTTTTATTAGTCTTGTATAATGCCCATTAACCCCCAAAAATCTATCAAATCAAAATCTATCAAACCTCTCGTGGAAGGTGCTGCTGAAGCTGTCCTTGGTGTCACGTTTCTTAAGGTCCGTCTTGCAGAACTTGGTCTCTGTCTTGAATTCGGCTGATCCGGTATGGGTGGCGACGGAGGCCTCGGCCTCAAGGCAGTCCTTGACCTGGGAAAAAATAAGAAAAAACATAATGTACTTTTTTTTTTTTTTATACATAGATAAATAAATGTACTAATATATTTGGATTAAAAAGTACATGACCTCGTTCTCGTTGTAGCCACTCAGGGATGCCTGACACACGCGCAGGGAGGTCACGCTCTTCACCCGCCCCCCCAGGTGAACCTTCTTGATGAAGTGGGTGCCAAAAATTGCCAAAAAAATGTCTGTAGTCCATCTTGGTCTGGGTGGTGTAAAGGGGAGGCAGGAGGTTCAGGGAGCGAGAGAACTCAGGGTGCAGGGGAGGGTCCTCTAGCAGGCGGTAACTGAGAAAGAAACACACAAGATGGAGAGTTTATAGCCTGTAGAGAGCAGTGTTGGTTCTATAAAGTTAAACTTCTATAATACAATGATGTTGTTATAATTATAAGGTATATTACCTGTAATAAGAGCAGTGTATATCCTGTTTGATGAAGCTGTACTTGTCCTTCTTCGACTGGCTCATGACAGTCTTGGCAGCTTTGGAGTGGGTACCCCCCACGATGACCGACCCCTTAGCCTTGGGGGGTCACAATGTCCAGACCAATCTTCCAACTGACATCTACCTACACATTGGTGGTAGATAAGGTGAGTTTACCCACATAAAGCACTTTGAGCATTAGGAAAAGCGTTATATCTAAATACATTGAATCAATTATTCGTATTCTTATTTAAATAATAATAATAATAATTATAATTATTATTATACATATGATTATGATTATTATTATAAAGCTCTCTCTCTTGCTCTCTCTCTATATATATTATATACTGAACAAAAATATGAACGCAACAAGATTTTACTGAGTTACAGTTCATGTGAGGAAATCAGTCAATTTAAATCAATTCATTAGGCCCTAATCTATGGATTTCACATGACTGGGAATACAGATATGCATCTGTTGGGCCTCACAATGGGCTTCAGGATCATGTCACTGTATTTCTGTGTATTCAAATTGCCATCGATAAAATGCAATTGATTCGTTGTCTGTAGCTTATGCCTGCCCATACCATAACCCCACCGCCACCATGGAGCACTCTGTTCACAAAGTTGGCCATTAGCAAACCCGCTCACCCACACGATGCCACACATGTGGTCTGTGGTTGTGAGGCCGGTTGGACATACTGACAAATTCTCTAAAACGACGGAGGCGGCTTATGGTAGAGAAATTAACATGAAATTCTCTGGCAACAGCTCTGGTGGACATTCCTGCAGTCAGCATACCAATTGCATGCTCTCTCAAACCTTGAGACATCTGTGGCATTGTGTTGTGTGACAAACTGCACATTTTAGGGTGGCCTTTTATTGTCCCCAGCACAAGGTGCACCTGTGTAATGATCATGCTGTTCAATCAGCTTCTTGATATGCCACACCTGTCAGGTGGATGGATTATCTTGGCAAAGTAGAAATGCTCACTAACAGGGATGTAAACACATTTGTTCCCAAAATTTGAGCGAAATAAGCTTTTTATGCCTATGGAACATTTCTGGTATCTTTTATTTCAGCTTATGAAACATAGGACCAACACTTGACATGATGAGTTTAGTAGTAGTAGTAGTAGTAGTAGTAGTAGTAGTAGTAGTAGTAGTAGTAGTAGTAGTACCTCTGTCTGGCTGCTGCTCACAAACGCCTCGCTGGAGTCGTAGACCATGCTGGCTAACTTCATGTGGCAGTTCTGCATGGGACGCCAGTCCACCACAGCCGCAGGCAGCCTCTGAGTCTGGCCTTCCATGAAAGGGTTAACACAGAGTGTACAGGTCCCGTTATCAGTCTTCCTCCAGTTGTCCACGTCGATGACATAGGCCTGCTTGCGTTCCATGGTGACGATGTCGAAACCCTCGCCAGCCAGATTGGTACCGGGAGCTGACAGGGCAGCCTTGCACTCTGCTGGCCGGCCCGTGGTGCACGAGGACAGGACAGGGGAAAGCCACACTCCCCACAGCCACAGCAGGGCAACCAGAGTGGTCTGTGTGCCTGGAGAGGAGGAGGAGAAGGTAGATATTACATTACATTTAATTCAAGGTAAATTCAAATGGTAAACTTAACGGGATATTACACTCCAATATCGATGTTTTCAGATATTGTGATGCTATTTGATTTGTCTAGCGGAAACAGAGTTAATTGCAGGGTACATCTGCCCCCGTGGGAGACCAGGGTTCGATCCCAGAGTCAACTTCTTCAACTATACACCTCTCATCTTTCTCCCTACTCACTTCACCTCTGTAACTCCATTAAAACTCTACAATGTGTAGGGTGAGCAGACTCCTGTTCCCCTCAAAGAAGAAAGGAGAGGAAAGAAAAAAAAGAGTGTGTTGCTCTCTTCTGGAGACATACATAGAGAGTGAGTATAGAGTAACCATTTACCTGACATACTGTATCAATCACAATCTCTTGGTGATGATGATGGGTTTGATGAAGATGATCCTGGAACAATGGAGCGTTCTGTGTCTGTCTGTCTGATGTCTGACTGACAGACTAACCTGGAAACAAACAGAAAGATGTTATCTGTGGGTTCCGTCCTGGAGGCGGCATTTTTAGTTGTGGTCAAGGCTTTGTTTATATAGATGGGGCCTGCGGTTGCTAGGTGTGTTTTGGTGTGAGGGTGGGTGTTCACTTATAAGAAACCCTTTGCAGACAGATACAGATCATTCATATCTGTGCATGAGTGAATGTCTGATGGCACCAGAAAAAAAGGACTAGACCCAGCAGTTTTGTAACTCTAATTGCACACACTTTCGCCTATATGCTACTGCTCCCACATAAATAGTCAACCAGACACCCAATCAAACCGGTCCCTGGCACTATCACTTTGCATACAGAACCATTTGGCTGCTTTGGCAGTCATTCTCCCGCTGAGCTCTGTGGATAGGGCTGGGCGATATGGCCAAAATATCATATCACAATATTTTGAACTCCGTGGTCAAATGAAACAGAAGAAGAGATGATCAAATCAAATTTTATTTGTCACATGCGCCGAATACAACAGGTGTAGATCTTATCGTGAAATGCTTACTTACAAGCCCTTAACCAACAATACCGTTTTAAGAAAGGTAAGAGTTAAGAAAATATTAAATAAACTACAGTAAAAAATACATAAATAAAATAACAATAACGAAGCTATATACAGGGGGTACCGGTACTGAGTCAATGTGCGGGGGTACAGGTTAGTCGCGGTAATTGAGGTAATATGGACATGCAGGTAGGGGTAAAGTGACTATGCATAGATAATAAACAGCGAGTAGCAGCAGATAGTCCTGCTAGCCATTTGATTAACTATTCAGCAGTCTTATGGCTTGGGGGTAGAAGCTGATAAGGAGCCTTTTGGACCTAAATGATGAGTCATTCAGAGAATAGACCGTCTGCTACAGTGGTGAGAATAGGGCTTTATGGTGGCGGTGAGCACAGTTGAAACTCTTCTTCTGGTACTCTGGCATGGTAGTTAGAAGTCTTGATAAGCACAGCACCAAATTACACTTCCCTCACAATGAACATGTTTCACTGTGAACAAAGTGCAGGTAAAAGGTACACATTGTTACATAGTACAGTCGTGGTCAAAAGTTTTGAGAATGACACAAGTATTGGTCTCCACAAAGTTTGCTGCCTTAGTATTGATGATGGCAATTTGCATATACTCCAGAATGTCATGAAGAGTGATCAGATGAATTGCAATTTATTGCAAAGTCCCTCTTTGCCATGAAAATGAACTTAATCCCCCCAAAATATTTCCACTGCGTTTCAGCCCTGCCACAAAAGGACCAGCTGACATCATGTCAGTGATTGTCTCGTTAACACAGGTGAGAGTGTTGACGAGGACAAGGCTGGAGATCACTCTGTCATGCTGATTGAGTCAGAATAACAGACTGGAAGCTTTAAAAGGAGGGTGGTGCTTGAAATCATTGTTCTTCCTCCATCAACCATGGTTACCTGCAAGGGAACACGTGCCGTCATCATTGCTTTGCCAAAAAGGGCTTCACAGGCAAGGATATTGCTGCTAGTAAGAGTGCACCTAAATCAACCATTTACTGGATCATCAAGAACTCCAAGGAGAGAGGTTCAATTGTTGTGAAGAAGGCGTCAGGGCGCCCAAGAAAGTCCACCAGTGCAGAGCTTGCTCAGGAATGGCAGCAGGCAGGTGTGAGTGCATCTGCACGCACAGTGAGGCAAAGACTTTTGGAGGATGGCCTGGTGTCAAGAAGGGCAGCAAAGAAGCCACTTCTCTCCAGGAAAAACATCAGGGACAGACAGATATTCTGCAAAAGGTACAGGGATTGGACTGCTGAGGACTGGGGTAGAGTCATTTTCTCTGATGAATCCCCTTTCCGATTGTTTGGGGCATCCAGAAAACACCTTGTCCGGAGAAGACAAGGTGAGCGCTACCATCATGTCAGGGTTGAGTGTAGAGGGAACGTGGAATCACACGCAGGACACAGAGATTCAAAAAACAGATGTCTTTAGTGAAGTCCGACAGTACAAGCCAACACGGTAACAGGCCACAGGCGAAACATACGCACACTGGACTGTCCAAAGTAAATGCGCACAACGTGCAGGACTCTCTCAAACAAAACGAAATACAGAGAGCACAGAACAGCGGACCAACATCTACACGTGACATAGAACAATTACACACAACACCTGACCAAACACAAGAGAACTAAATAGGGTGCCTAATGAACACTTAACAATGAACAGGTGTAACAAACAGACAAAACCAATCAAACATGAAACATCGAACGGTGGCAGCTAGTACTCCGGAGACGACGACCGCCGAAGCCTGCCCGAACAAGGAGAAGGGGCCGCCTCGGCCGAAACCGTGACACATCAGTCCTGTGTCATGCCAACAGTAAAGCATCCTGAGACCATTAATGTGTGGGGTTGCTTCTCAGCCAAGGGAGTGGGCTCACTCACAATTTTGCCTAAGAACACAGCCATGAATAAAGAATGGTACCAACACATCCTCCGAGAGCAACTTCTCCCAACCATCCAAGAACAGTTTGGTGACGACCATTGCCTTTTCCAGCATGATGGAGCACCTTGCCATAAGGCAAAAGTGATAACTAAGTGGCTTGGGGAACAAAACATTGACATTTTGGGTCCATGGCCAGGAAACTCCCCAGACCTTAATCCCATTGAGAACTTGTGGTCGATCCTCAAGAGGCGGGTGGACAAACAAAAACCCACAACTTCTGACAAACTCCAAGCATTGATTATGCAAGAATGGGCTGCCATCAGTCAGGATGTGGCCCAGAAGTTAATTGACAGCAAGCCAGGGCGGATTGCAGAGGTCTTGAAAAAGAAGGGTCAACACTGCAAATATTGACTCTTTGCATAAACTGAATGTCATTGTCAATGAAAGCCTTTGACACTTATGGAATACTTGTAATTATACTTCAGTATACCATAGTAACTACTGACATAACGATCTAAGAACACTGAAGCAGCAAACTTTGTGGAGACCAATACTTGTGTCATTCTCAAAACTTTTGACCACGACTGTACTAGTGATATTCCTGTTTGCAGTTTGTGTAATAACACATTTTTATATGCATTCATCTGTTGCACTCTACTCCTCTCTCTCTCTCTCCTCTCCAGCTGTCCAGTGGCTCATATACTGTGTAGTATCTATGTTCTGTTTGTGTAATCACACATTGCTCTACCCATCTCCAACTACTCCAGCTGTCCAGTGGCTCTAGGACAGGTAACATGCAGCCGTTCCCCCGTTCTCCATCCAGCCTCCTAGCCGTGGAGGAGAGCCAGGCATGGCCAGCTGAACCCCGACCAGCACCAGGCCAGTCCTGGGGACAAGGCCTCCACCTACACCCTGACCAACGTGGTGCCCCAGGCCATGGAGTTCCTCAAACACTACTGGCTCCCCACCATGCCTCAACAACTACTGCCATGGAACGGCCTATGTTATCACTGGCGTCACCACTGCCAGTAACACCATCCAGAGAGGTATTGTTAACCAGGTGGGGTACAATTTCCATTCACCAATCATTTGTAGCTATGCCCAATACACACGTACAGAAACATAAACTATTATGGCCTTGACAAGGAAATTGATCAACTGATAGACAAATTCAAAGTGAATCAGTCATGTCATTGAGGTACATGACACTTGTTTCCCCTTTAAAGGAAGATAAGTGTTTGCTGGAAGGGCTCTCCTTGATTTCCCATGAAGTCATGCCTGAGTACACATGACACCAACACAACCTTACATGGTCATGCAGCATAACCATATACAAGACCATCTATGAGTCTAGCCAACACAGTCTGCCAGGAAGAGACTGAAACCTATCACATATGATATGACATATTAACCACATCTACAAAAAGAACTTGACACCTTAAGTGACAGGAACTGATCCCTCAGAGCGAGCTGAGCTGAGTGTGGTTTTCTGTCCACTATGGTCCAACCTCCAGTTCTCACGGGAAAAAGCTCTTGACAAGTGACAGGAACTGCTCGTGCTGAAGTGACAAAACAGTCACCTGTCAATCAGAGTCTGTTTTCAGACTCTAGAGGGTTTCAGTCCAGCTGAGTTAATTCAGTTCCTCCAACCACCAATGGAACCAATAGAAAACCCCATCAGGATTTGGGAATAGCCTAGCCTGGTCCCAAATCTTGTGCTGTATTGCCAACTTCTATAGTTGTTGCCATGACAAAGACCATAGCCACTGTGTCCATAATAAGTATATAGGTTATAGGATGACAGCTTTTGTGAAAGAGCACAGTTAGATATGGCATATAGAAGCAAACCGGATGGACTTCATGAAAATGATCGGAGAGGTTGAGGGTAGAGGAAGTTCAGGAGTAAAAACAAACAAAATATAATTATTGTCAAATTGTCCATAAAATGTATATAGTATGTATAAGCTGGAAGTAGAGGCCTAAGCATTGTTGTTCACTAGTTTACTCCAAATAGGGAAGGTGTGGTGGTGTTGGAAAGGGAAATATATTTTTTTAAAGGATATGTATATATATATATATGTGAGAGAAAAAACATATAGGGATTGGAAGTGATGAAGACAATTACATTGATGGAAGTTACAATCTATCTGCAATATTAAAGCTGATCTACCACCTAAAAAACATAAAAAATAAAAATAAAGACCACAGCCATTGGCTACACAGCACAAATACAGTGCTATGAAAAAGTATTTGCCCCTTTCTAATTTTCTCTACTTTTGCATATTTGTGATACTGAATGTTATCAGATCTTCAACCAAATCCTAATATTAGATAAAGGGAACATAAGTGAACAAATAACACAACAATTACATATTTATTTCATAAACAAAGTTATGCAACACCCAATTCCCCTGTGTGAAAAAGTAATTGTCCCCTTACACTCAATAACTGGTTGTGCCACCTTTAGCTGCAATGACTCCAACCAAATGCTTCCTGTAGTTGTTGATCAGTCTCTCACGTCGCTGTGGAGGAATTTTGGCCCACTCTTCCATGCAGAACTGCTTTAACTCAGTGACGTGTGGGTTTTTCAAGCATGAACTGCTCGTTTCAAGTCCTGCCACAACATCTCAATTGGGATTAGGTCTGGACTTTGACTAGGCCATTCCAAAACTTCCAATTTGTTGCTTTTTAGCAATTTTCATGTAGACTTGATTGTGTGTTTTGGGTCAGTGTCTTGCTGCATGACCTAGCTGCGCTTCAGCTTCAGCTCACAGACGGATGGTCTGACATTCTCCTGTAGAATTCTCTGATACAGAGCAGAATTCATGGTTCCTTCTATTAAGGCAAGTCGTCCAGGTCCTGAGGCAGCAAAGTATCCCCAAACCATCACACCACCACCACCATGCTTGACCTTTGGTATGATGTTCTTACTGTGGAATGCAGAGTTTGGTTTTCGCCAGGCATTACTGGAACCATGTCGTCCAAAAAGTTATACTTTTGAATCATCTGTCCATAGAACGTTCTTCCAAGAGTCTTGATGATCATCCAGGTGCTTTTTGGCAAACTTGAGTCAACCTTTTGGACGAGATGGGTCCCATTATGCCTGGCGAAAACCAAACACTGCATTCCACAGTAAGAACATCATACCAAAGGTCAAGCATGGTGGTGGTGGTGTGATGGTTTGGGGATGCTTTGCTGCCTCAGGACCTGGACGACTTGCCTTAATAGAAGGAACCATAAGATTTTGAAGAGATTAAAAATATTCCTAGAGTGATTGAAGCACGCTGGATGAATTGTGTGGTGAATGGTGAAAAAGTGAAGAGTCTATCTGTTCTTTTGTTTTTTGATATGGTCTCTCCCTACTCAAGTGCAGTTAGGGTATATTACCTACAGAGTCAGAGCATTTATCCCAAGACCAATGCAGTGTGATCATTGTAAAGCCTTTGGTCATGTATCAAATGTTTGCAGAAGGGAGAAGCCGAGATGTCCAAGTTGTGGAAAATGTCATATTATGTGTTATAAAAGTGATGAATATGTTGCAATTGCGGTGGGAACCATGAAGCCACATCTTTTGAATGCTGCACAAGGGTGAAAAAGAATGAGGTGGCCAAAGTCAGGGTTGTACAGAGCATTTCATATGCAGCAGCTGTGAAAAGGGTTGAGGGTTTGAATGGTGCACCAGAAGGGTCCATGGTGGTGGATAGGCCTACACTGCAGGTTGCAGGGGTTGCCTTTCACCAGCAGGATCCTGACATTTTAAAGGTTAAGAAGGTGGACTTTGTGGCCTTTATAGCTATGGTAATTAATGGCACTGCCAAGGTGGAGAGAAGGTCCAGGAAGATAGAAATCATAGTGGATGCGGCGGAGCGGTTCCAATATGCCTTTTCGTGAAGAGGACACGACAAAGCCTATTCCCCCTCAGGAGACTGAAAAGATTTGGCATGGGTCCTCAGATCCTCAAAAGGTTCTACAGCTGCACCATCGAGAGCATCCTGACTGGTTGCATCATCGTCTGGTATGGCAAATGCTTGGCCTCCAACCGCAAGGCACTACAGAGGGTAGTGTGTACTGCCCAGTACATCACTTGGGCCAAGCTTCCTGCCATCCAGGACCTCTATACCAGGCGGTGTCAGAGGAAGGCCCTAAAAATTGTCAAGACTCCAGCCACCCTAGTCATAGACTGTTCTCTCTGCTACCGCACGGCAAGCGGTACCGGAGCGCCAAGTCTACTTCCAAAAGGCTTCTTAACAGCTTCTACCCCCAAGCCATAAGACTCCTGAACAGCTAATCAAATGGTACCCAGACTATTTGCAGACACATTTTTTGTTTATCTATTTTTTACTTAACACTTATTTTTCTTAAAACTGCATTGTTGGTTAAGGGTCTACACCTGTTGTATTCGGCGCATGTGACAAATAAAATTTGATTTGATTTGGGGCTGAAAGATTTCTCAGCAAAGGAGTTACATGGAATATTGAGACAAGCCATACCACCCTCTCAGGTCCTAGAGCCAGAGAAGGGAGAAATTGAGAATTAAAAGAAGGAATAAGTGGGAGTTGTGTTTGTTTTGGCAATGTACTATTTTATTGGGGTGGATTAAAGTTAGTTTCACTATTACGTATGGCTTTTTAATAATATTTTTTGGTATTAACCCATCCAGTTGGTGGCAGAAATGCACCTTTTTGGGTTGTAGTCCGCCATAAAAACCACAGAAGAAGAAGAAGAAGAAGAAGAAGAAGAAGAAGAAGAAGAAGAAGAAGAAGAAGAAGAAGAAGAAGAAGAAGAAGAAGAAGAACACGCAGGACACAACGCAGAGTGCCTGGACACAGCCCTTAGCCGTGGTATATTGGCCATATATCACAAACCCCAGAGGTCCCTTATTGCTATTATAAACTGGTTACCAACGTAATTAGAGCAGTAAAAATAAATGTTTTGTCATAACCGTGGTATATGGTCTGATATACCACGGCTGTCAGCCAATCAGCATTCAGGGCTCGAACCACCCAGTTTATAAATGTTAATAGATGATCAGCAGGGTCAAATAATAATCACAGTGTTTGTAGATGCAATAGGTCAGCACCTCAGGAGTAAATGTCAGTTATCTTTTCATAGCTGAGCATTTAGAGGTTGAGACAGGATCAAACAGCAGGTCTGAGACATGGTAGCACTTCCGGTGAGCCCTGAGCAGGTCAGGGTTCCATAGCCGCAGACAGAAACAGCAGAGACTGGATCAGCAGCACGACTGGGTACAGGGATAGCCAGGAGTCATCAGGCCAGGTAGTCCTGAGGCATGGTCCTAGAGCTCAGGTCCTGTTTCCTTTATTTAACTTAAGTGTAGACTAAGCTCTAGAGGTTTTATAACTTCACATGATTTAGCCTACTTGTCAATCCAGATCTGAAAGTTTGATATCCTTTTTACTGTACAGTGTTGATAGTAATTTTTTCCAAAGTTAATCACTGAATGTCCTACTACAAGGATGTGGGCAGGTTGACACACTTCTGAGTCACAATAACACAGATCACACACACCACAGGTTGCTAGGGCAAGTACAATGAGCAGTTGGGAAAATGAAGTCTGCTGCGTGGTTGCCCAATACACACACACTTAATTAAGGTTAGTGTGTAGTCAAGGCTTTGTCATTAAAATAATATTGTGCCTATTTTTCAGAACTGCCAGCCAGGCTCTGTTGGTGACAGGTAACCATGTTTCCACCAAGCTGTTCCAGGCCTGGAGTGGCACGCTGGAACTTCCAGAGGCTTGTAGACCTGAAGCAGTGTGATGTGGTCCAGGTAGTTATCACACACACGTATACACACTCACTCAATCACTCACTCTGTTTTGTTGTATAATTATTTTCACTTAAGAAAATTGTTCCTCTCTCTTTTGGATCTGACACCACTATTATCTCAACCACAGCCCTCACAGCTGCAGTCGTCTGCCCCTGATACACCGGCCGCAACAGGTGATACAGGTCATTATCATATACATGTATACACACATGCGTACTCTCCCTCACATGGGGCTCTATTCAATCACATCCGCTTTAGCCGACATAACGGTTGTTTTGGCGCTGTCTGAGGTGGAACTTTGTTAGAGCTGTCAAATCCACAAGCGGATCCTGGCATTGCCATTGCCTGCACGGAGTCGCATTAACAGAAATCTCATGCAGCCCTGTTTACAAGTTTGAACACTGGTATGTGAGATGTAATCTACACCTCGATTAGGATGATAGAAATCCTCATTATTTAGTTTAATGAGCGTCATTATTTCTGTATAGCCTACACTTTCTATTTCTGAACTTGTAACGCGAGTAGGACGGGTGTGGCTTGGTGACAAGGATCAAGAGCAGCTGCTTATTGATTTGACAGATCCAACTCGATTACACCTCATTCACTGCCAAAACATCAGCTATGTGGGTGTCGGCTATCAGCGGTTAACGCTTGATCTTACTGGATCTAGGCCTTACACTCATTCAGTCTGTTTAGTTGTATGATTCTTGTCAGTTAAGAAAGTTGTGCCTCTCTCTTTTAAATCTGCCACCCCCAGCAGTTCAGCTGCAGTCACAGCAGTCCTCTGCTGTGGTATTTCATTTACTGGCTGCACCAGTTCCTACTACACTGGCTGTGAAGGGAGAAACTTTTGAGGATTCCCAGATGGATACAGGTAATTCAGAATTATATTACATACACATATGCTCACTCACTCACACTAGGCTTGAATGGCGCAAACCCGGTTACCGAGATTTACCGCCCAAAACCACTCCCTTTTTCCGGATAAATAACTGTGAGAAACCGGTAAATTATAATGAATTATTTATATGAACAGCATGGCATGAAATGGAACTGTTAAATTATATGCGATGTCTAAATCTGGCTTCTCTACGGCCTCTGCATGATGAATCAACGCTCAGGGTGGGGACAGACTGCCCATCTCAGTATGGTGACAGGTAGGCCTGCATTTGCTGCAGCATAGTCTATTCTACATTAATATAAAGACTGAATGCGTGTCTCATTTACCCATCTCCATCTGGCTTTCGGGGTCACCTTGTTTTTTAATTGTAAAGATTCTTTTTTTTTTATTGCAGCTGCAGAGAATATCATTGCTTTAAATTTACATTTCAGTCATTTAGCAGACGCTCTTATCCAGAGCGACTTACAGGAGCAATTAGGGTTAAGTGCCTTGCTTAAGGGCACATCAACAGATTTTTCACCTAGTCGGCTTGGGGATTAGAACCAGCGACCTTTCGGTTACTGGCACAACGCTCTTACCCACTAAGCTACCTGCCGCCCCAAATCAGTGCACGCGTGAGTGCTCTCTCGCAGTGTTTCTCTCTCTCCATCAACTCCATTCAAATTGCATCCAAAATAGATCATCCTGTTCTAGATTGATACATAGCCCTATATGTAGATGTCCAAGCCTACCTCTTTCAGGCAATAAATTCAATCAGTATTAGCCTTATATTTAGCTAATTAATGATGGGTTATGCATAATAAGCTTCTAACTTATAGCCCCTGTCTCTTGCGCAATACGCACGCACCTGTGTTCCGCTGGCCTCTCTCTGTCACGCCCTGGCTCTGGGGACTCTTAAAGGTTGATGTCACGCCCTGGCTCTGGGGACTCTAGTATGTTGAGCCAGGGTGTGAGTTTTCGTTTGTTTTCGTTCTAGTTTAGTATTTCTATGTTGGCCAGTGTGGTTCTCAATCAGAGGCAACGGGTATCAGCTGTTGCTTGTTGTCTCTGATTGGGAACCATACTTAGTCAGCCAGTTTTCCCACAGTGTTTGTGGGATCTTGTTCCTGTATAGGTTTGTGTTTTGCACCTTTGGACGTCACGTTATCATTTGTTGTTTTTGTTCGTGTAATCATTATTTAATAAATATGTTCACCTTCCACGCTGCGCCTTGGTCCTCTGTATCCGACGATCGTGACAGAAGATCCCACCAACACTGGACCAAGCAGCGTGTCCAGGAGCCAGCGCCAGAGGTATCGCTAAAGGACATCAACCTCGACTGGGCCTGGCCCACGGGGAGGAGAGACCCCCAGAAAATGTTTAGGGGGGGGGCTCACGCCATGGACGACGGGGCAGCAGGAGGCCGCGATAGAGCGGTCCAGCGGGTTTGCAGAGGAGGCCGCCAGGTTAAGGGGGCCACTGGTCACAGAGGAGAGGGAAAGTGTAGAGGCACGGCGAGAGGTACTGGGGTGTGTTACCAGTCCGGTCCGGCCCGTTCCTGATCCCTGCGTAGGGCCAGTGGTGTGTGTCCCCAGTACGGTCCGGCCTGTTCCTGTTCCTCGCATCGAGCCTGTGGTGCGCGTCGTCAGCCCGGCCCGGCCTGTTCCTGCTCCATGCACCAAGCCTATGGTGCGCATCGTCAGCCCGGTTTGGCCCGCTCCTGCTCCCCGCACCAAGTCAGGGGTGCGTTTCGTCAGCCCGGCTCGGCCCGTTCCTGCTCCCCACACCAAGCCAGTGGTGTGCGTCGTCAGTCCGGCACAGCCCGTGCCTGTTCCACCGGTGCCTGGTTTGGCACGGGTCAGCTGCTTCACGCCGGAGCTAGAGCAATCCGCTCCACCAGTGTGCAGTCCAGCTCCGGTCAGCAGGGCCAGACCGGACCAGGGGTACTTTGGGGGGTTAGAGAGGGAGTGGGGATCATGCCCGGAGCCGGATCCGCCGCCAAGGCGGAGTGCTCACCCGGTCCCTCCCCTGTGGTGTTTGGTTGGCGCGGTCGGAGTCCGCGCCTTTGGGGGGGGGGTACTGTCACGCCCTGGCTCTGGGGACTCTAGTATGTTGAGCCAGGGTGTGAGTTTTCGTTTGTTTTCGTTCTAGTTTAGTATTTCTATGTTGGCCAGTGTGGTTCTCAATCAGAGGCAACGGGTATCAGCTGTTGCTTGTTGTCTCTGATTGGGAACCATACTTAGTCAGCCAGTTTTCCCACAGTGTTTGTGGGATCTTGTTCCTGTATAGGTTTGTGTTTTGCACCTTTGGACGTCACGTTATCGTTTGTTGTTTTTGTTCGTGTAATCATTATTTAATAAATATGTTCACCTTCCACGCTGCGCCTTGGTCCTCTGTATCCGACGATCGTGACAGTTGAGCCAGGGTGTGGATTTTCTATGTTTAGTTTTCTATGTTTTTTGTTCTAGATCGTTTAGATCTATGTTGGCCAGGGTGGTTTCCAATCAGAGGCAGCTGTAGCTCGTTGTCTCTGATTGGGGACCATACTTAGGCAGCCTGTTGGCACCAGTTAGTTTGTGGGATCTTGTTCCGTAAAGGTTTGTTGTATGTAACCTCAGGACTTCACGTATCGTTTGTTGTTTTTTTCGTGTTGTGTACTACAAATAAAATGTACGCTTATCTTCCGATAACGAGCGTGACACTCTCCTTAAAAAATGCTCCTTAGTTCTTGGAGTCCCATGCAGGAAAAGCTAGACCAGATTAGCTTGCTGGACATAATTTATTTCAGCATTTCTTATACCAGTAGACTTTTCGAAGAGTGACGCAAGCTCTTTTTTGCTGAATGTTAAATACAGCAGCCAATAGAACTCATGGATAGATTGAAAGAAGAGCGAACGCACGATGGCGGTAGGCTATAGCAGTTATTTATTGAGACCCATAACCATTCAATCAAACTTCAAGAAGAATTCTAGTCCTATATTATTCAAGGATGTCATTAGAATGATGAAGATAAGGACAACTAAACTTATTTCATTTAACTGTGAAAAGCGTGGCAGGAATGAAGCGACAATAGAGCGAGAAAGACGAGGTAGGCTAATAACATTAGGGGAAATATTATGAAAGGTATATATGCGTCAGCCTGCTAATTATACAAATAGGCCCTATAATAATTCAAAATTAAAATCAAATTCGCTAGCCTATACTTGTAACTTTGTAGGCCGCATGTGCTGCACCAGAATTCGCATGTTCTCTTCTGCTTTATCATGGTTTGAATGATGTGCGTAATTCCAGTCCATATAATACGATACAGTACAGCAATACAGTTCACACTCAAAGATGAACCTACTGGAGCTAGTTTTTCATTTATTTACCCAAGAGAGCATGTAGCTAGCTACATCTATGGGCTTTTATGTTTTTCTGTCGTGCGTAATGTGTGGTAGCCTATATCATGTGTATATATATATATATATATATATATATATATATATACATACAGTGCATTCAGAAAGTATTCAGACACTGACTTTTTCCACATTTTGTTACGTTACAGCCTTATTCTAAAATGGATGAATTAAAAACAATTCCTCAGCAAGCTACAAACAATACCCCATAATGACGAAGTGAAAACAGGTTTTTAGAAATGTTTGCAAATGAATTAAAAATAAAGTATTCAGACCCTTTGCTATGAGACTCAAAATTGAGCTCAGGTGCATGCTGTTTCCATTGATCATCCTTGAGATGTTTCTACAACTTGATTGGAGTTCACCAGTGGTAAATTCAATTGATTGGACATGATTTGGAAAGGCACACAACTGTCGATATAAGGTCCCACAGTTGACAGTGCATGTCAGAGCAAAAAACAAGCCATGAGGTCGAGGGAATTGTCTGTAGAGTTCCGAGACAGGATTGTGTCGAGGCACAGATCTGGGATAGGGTAACAAAAAATTTCTGCAGCATTGAAGCTCCCCAAGAACACAGTGGCCTCCATCATTCTTAAATGGAAGAAGTTTGGAACCACCAAGACTCTTCCTAGAGATGGCCGCCCGGCCAAACTGAGCAATCGGGGGAGAAAGGCCTTAGTCAGGGAGGTGACCAAGAACCCGATGGTCATTCTGACAGAGCTCTAGAGTTCCTCTGTGGAGATGGAAGAACCTTCCAGAAGGACAACCATCTCTGCAGCACTCCACCAATCAGGCATTTATGGTAGAGTGGCTTGATGGAAGCCACCTCTCAGTAAAAGGCACATGACAGCCCGCTTGGAGTTTGCCAAAAGGCACCTAAAGACTCTCAGACCATTAGAAACAAGATTCTCTGGTCTGATGGAACCAAGATTAAACTCTTTGGCCTGAATGCCAAGCGTCACATCTGGAGGAAACCTGGCACCATCCCTACGGTGAAGCATGGTGGTGGCAGCATCATGCTGTGGGGATGTTTTTCAGCAGCAGGGACTGGGAGACTAGTCAGGATCGAGGCAAAGATGAACAGAGCAAAGTACAGAGAGATCCTTGATGAAAACCTGCTCCATAGCACTCAGGACCTCAGACTGGGGCGAAGGTTCACCTTCCAACAGGACAATGACCCTAAGCACACAGCCAAGGGAACGCAGGAGTGGCTTCGGGACAAGTCTCTGAATGTCCTTGAGTGGCCCAGCAAGAGCCCGGACTTGAACCCGATCTAACATTTCTGGAGAGACCTGAAAATAACTGTGTAGCAACGCTCCCCATCCAACCTGACAGAGCTTGAGAGGATCTGCAGAGAAGAATGGGAGAAACTCCCAAAATACAGGTGTGCCAAGCTTGTAGCATCATACCCAAGAAGACTCGATGCTGTAATCGCTGCCAAAGATGCATCAACAAAGTACTGAGTAAAGGGTCTGAATACTTATGTAAATGTGATATTTCAGTATTTTTACAATTTTTTTACTATAATGTCTAAAAACCTGTTTTTGCTTTGTCATTGTGGGTTATTGTGTGTAGATTGATGAGGGGGAAAAAAAACTATTTAATCAATTTTAGAATAAGGCTGTAACGTAACAAAATGTGGAAAAGTCAAGGAGTCTGAATACTTTCCGAATGCACTGTATATGCTTTATAATGCTTTTGAATGACACTTCCAGTTTTGGCGGGAAATACTGGGTTACCCGGGAGAAACGTGATTCATTCTCGGGATGGAATATTTGTAAAATACCAGGAAGATATTAAACCCTAACTCACACCAACAGATGTGCACACACAAACATGTTGTTGAGCTGTATACTTACTGTGACTTTGTGCATCTCTCTTTCAGATCTGCCATGCACTCCTCCACTGCCAGACAGCCTCACCCAGAATTGCATATACTGGGCCTATCAAGACTGATAAAGCCGAGATGGGTGGTTGACAAGGAAAAATAAAACACAACATGCATAAATCTCTCTTTCAGATCTGCCATGCACTCCACCACTGCCTAACAGCCTCACCCAGAAAACCTACTTGAACGTAACAGCGCTCACTGTTGCCCCTAATGGCCCGTTTCCATGTCATCTCCCAATGTCCTCAGACATGAATGGACTTTGAATACTGACTTGTATCACGGTTGACCTGCCTGCTTATTCAGAGCAACATTCAGCTGGTGCGTGGGAGGGGTATCATGCAACTTGTGAACAGCTCACCAGCTAAAACATACAACAGGAAATAGAGGTTGTAGTCTACTCCTGTTGTTGTACTCGTACAGAGAAAATATGAGAATGTGGTTTACAGCCCCCTCAGGGGGAAATGAAAAACCTTCCACTCCCCTCATGTGGTTTGGAAACAGAAAATATGTAAAACAACAACTGTTGTTGTCACAAATAACAATAATGAGTAGAAATAAAAACTCAAAGTTGTTGCTACTGACTTAACTGACGATCCTGGATGGAATGTTGTTTTTCTACAAGATTATTCACTAGAAGCCCATCATACTAATTCCAGTGACAATCAATGAATCCACAACATGTCTGTGAAGTAAAATGATCATAGCACAGCTAGGTCTCCATTTTGTTTCAGACCCTTCCTCAAGTCTCCCTCCCAATCTACCACTGCACAAAGGCTTGTTCTGCTCACACCTCAGTCTTTACATGAGAAGAGCTGAGAAGGCTAGCCACAGATCTACCCACACGCACAGACAGACTCACGCACACACAAACCCACTTTGCATCTCTCCACTTCAGGGGATGAGAGTCCGCTCTGACCACGTTCTGCACCGACGGACACCAACACACAGGCGACCTTGAGTCCCTCTCTCCAAGCAGAAAGCATGAGATTGATAACAAAAACACTGTCTTTCAGGGCCTAACAGAGGCTGCAGAGCATGAAAGAGAGGATACAATAGTGTCAGCCAGTTTTCATATTACCAAGTAGAAGACGTCTATATGATGATGCTCTAGCTGGGCTTAGTTCTGGGCAATCTAGGGAGGCGGGAGGGAGAGACAGCCGACTCAAGCACAGAGTACTGTGTGAACGGCATAGGGAAAGAGGGGAACACATGCTGAGACTGTGTTAACTGAGAGAGGCAGACAAGACCACTAAACAAGATAGGTTCAAAGACAAAGAGAGAGTGAAAGAGAGAGGAAAGAGAGAGCGACATGGTCATCATGAGACACCTATCCATCTACTCTTCTCTGTCCCTGGCTGTGATGCTGATCCTACTGGGCTGTAAGCAGGAGACCCAGGCTGAGGTGGTGTAGGACTTTAACCACATGGAGCGCTGTAAGGACTCCCTGTACATGGGAACCCAACCGCAGGGCTATCTCCTCTGTAACTCCCTGAAGAAGATCTGCCAGCGCTACGAGGACAAGCTGCGCTTCGTCACCCTCTGCGACCCCCACAAACACATCCCCATCTACTCGGCCTATACCTTCAAGAAGTCTGATGGCGAGAAGAGGGTGGACTTTCTCTGGATGTTCGAGCCACAGGTATGTGGCAAGTAAGTGTGTGTGTTTGTGTGTTGAATTTCTCACTTTGCTATTATATCGATATGTTTACATGCTCTCGATAGTGAGTTAGAAACCCCATGTCATTTCAAAACATGTTCTCTCATGGATGCAGATGACTGACACCCATTCACTAGTTGGTAAGAGAGCACTCTGCCCGCTCATCAACAGTCATTGAAACATGTCATCATGGTCAAAAGCATAGTTGTATACCTATTGAACTAAGCACAGCGGCTACATAGTCTACCACCCACCAGTATGAAAATGTATGCACTCACTAACTGTAAGTCGCTCTGAATAAGAGCGTCTGCTAAATGACTAAACTGTAAACTGTAACTGTAAACTGTAAGACTTGCTGAGCTGTGAGGACAATATTGCTGCTCTACGCAAAACGAGATGCTGGAGGTAAGCAGCTTTATGGGCTGTGTGAATGGGTGTTACAATAGGATATTGTTGTGATAGCCGTTCATGTAGGAAGCAGGTGTTGTGCATATGCAAATTGATTGATCCTCCCCTCATTTTCCATCTTCAACTCTTCATCAAAATCCCCTCTTTCTCTTCATCTGTCTCGATCTCTCCCCACCTCCCTCCCTCCATCTGTATCCGTCTCTATCCCCTCTCGCCCTCCTTCCCTTCCACTCGACCTCCATCCCTTCCGCTCTCTCCCTCTGTAGTTGGAGTCAAAGAAGGGCAGCAACAACATGGAGCCATTCCCCCAGTCCTCCTCCCACATGAACTTCGAGGACAGCCGTGCTGGAAGACTATGCTGACGTGGCCCAGTACGAGAGAGGCCACCTCAAACTTGACGAGCATCAGGCCAACCCCCTAGACAAGGCATCCACCTACACACTGACCAACGTGGTGCCCCAGGTACGTTGGTTCAGTCTGCACATTTTAAAGAAGGTTTGGTGTGTCTACCTTAAACCGTTTCAGTGCAGGAGAGGGTGGAAGATGAATAATCATTAGAAGACGTATGGGGAATATAAGTATTGTTCTTGCTTCTTGCTGCAGATCTGCGAGTTCAACATCGGGCCCTGGGCCGAGCACGAGGACCTCATCACCAAGCGTCTCAACAACTACTGACGTGGCAAAGCCTACGTGGTCACCGGGGTCACGACCTTCGGGAACATGATCCGCCACGACAACCTGGACCGTGTGGCCATCCCCGAGTACATGTGGTCGGCAAACTGCTGCACCGACTACGACGAGAACGCGCCCTACTTCGTGCGGTACAAGTTCCTAGTGTTCGGGGCCTACGGGCTGAACGACCGTGTCAACAACCACCTGGTGGAGGTTCCAGTGAACCTGGAGAAGTTCCTCAGGGGAAGGATGGACGTGGACAAGATCTTTCAGATCTTCTACAACAACTGTGCGCCTGACTCATAGTGAGCAACCATGGGCGGCAGGTAGCTTAGTGGTTAAGAGCGTTGTGCCAGTAACCGAAAGGTCGCAGGTTCTAATCCCCGAGCCGACTAGGTGAAAAATCTGTTGATGTGCCCTTGAGCAAGGCACTTAACCCTAATTGCTCCTGTAAGTCGCTCTGGATTAGAGTGTCTGCTAAATGACTAATTATTTAATTATTATGTGATAGTGATTGCAATCATGCCAGCCTCAGTGTCACATCTACATTGTCATTCATTTCTGAATTTAGTAGATTGACAATATGAATGTTGCCTGTGGATGAGTTGTTGCTTACAAGCAATAAAGACGATAGTTCAAACCCTGTTCTGCCTCCATTATATGTAAGATAAATAATGTGAAATGTAGGCCTACCCCCTGGTTCAACAAACATTGTGCTTTTTGTAAGAAAATTAATCTCACTTTCATGCACAGACACCTCCTAAAATGTGCAGTCAGACTCAAAGCCTTTTGAGATTATAGACATATCACAGCATGTTGGTCATAAACCCCTTCTCTCTGTAAGACAATCATGTCCTATTTAAGACCCAATGTCTGTTCTTTGATCAGAAGCTTAATTTTCATGTTGGCCTCTGGGTAACACGGACAAGTCAGGAACTCACCGGCTTATATTGTCCACTGCAGAGACAGACTGCACTACACGCCATAGAACAAAGTCAAGATGTTGAGTATCTGAGATGAGATCAAGTGAATCCATATGAATTTATGTTGGATAATTACTGTATTCACATGTGAAAATCACCAGGCTTGTAGACGGTCATCTTTAAAAGGCCCAATGCAGCCATTTTTATATCAATATCAAATCATTTCTGGGAAACAATTAAGTACCTTACTGGAATAGTGTTCCATTAAAATAGCAAAAAATAAACAAAAATAGCTTTTATTTTCATTTTTTAAACTTATTTCTCAAGCAAGAATTTTGCTAGGACTGTCTGGGAGAGGTCTGAGTGGGAAGGGGAAAACTAGCTGTTATTGGCAGAGAGGTTTGGAACGCACTCTCACTTTGTTATTGGTCTATTATATCGATATATTGATCATGATACCAGGAAAGCCGAAACAACACCCATGAAAAACCTGCTGATTAGAAGGTCCTGTGCAGATTGTATTTTCAACCAGCAACTATCAGGAAATAACACTGAACCATTTTTAAAACACTTTTAAAGTGTTAGTTTCATCAGCTGTTGTACAATTTGATACAAAACACAGGAACAAATATTTGGGACTGCAATGGGCCATTAAAGGTTTAGTTATTGCCTCACTCTGTGTGAAGAGTCTGCAACTGCAATCATCCACAAGAGGGCAATAGTGTTCAACTCATGCATTACCTCCTACTGCTGCACAGGACAATACAAGTAGGCTTTATTTAACATATCTTTATTTGTGGATCATAACAGATATTTGCTAAGATATTTACAACAGACATTTAATGAAGCGATTGTCCAATTAAGTCCTTACAAGGATTATCTCTCAGTCAAAGAGTTCACGACACAATGAGTCTTCATTTCCGGGCTGATCTTTCCTTCTCCCTTTCATTTCCTAGCAGTCTGAGGCAGACACAAGTTATAGAATGAGCTATCATCCAGTGACCCCACTTTTTCCACGACATCCACCTGTGGGGATTTATTATTCTCATAAATGGATGGGATGACTAACTTAGAAAGAATGCATTAATGATTAAAGCATAAAAGGTTTATACTGTACTGATATGAATTGTTTCACATAACAGGCTGTGATTCATGTGAGGAATGTTAGGGGCTAGGATGAGATAAAACTTGTATTTCTTATAGATAAGACTTGTATTTCTCACAGAGACTACACTGCTTCTTTGTGATCTGTGAACCGTCCAAGGACATGGGTACTGTAAAAAAGTGCTAACTCCACAGGTTGTTATGATAAAAACTTATGCCTGGCAACTTATGCCTGCCTGTGGTCCTCTGTAGCTCAGCTGGTAGAGCACGGCGCTTGTAACGCCAAGGTAGTGGGTTCGATCCCCGGGACCACCCATACACAAAAATGTATGCACGCACGACTGTAAGTCGCTTTGGATAAAAGCGTCTGCTAAAGGCATATTATTATTATTATTATAACAGGGATGCGCCAAGGGACTTTGTTGCTATGGTAACTAAAGACAATCGCAAAATTGGGACTCAGTTCGTCGACGAAATAGTTCCCCCTATCAGCAAAAGCTGATGTTCCTATCTGGGCTTGCTTTAGCGAGAGCAACATGCGTGTGCGCAATTTCATACAGCGGGCGCTTGGCTTGTCATTGGAAAATGGGACACATTTAATGGATTACAGATTCTCAATATTATTACATTTTATATTATGTTTCCCTCTTCTCTAACACCCTCCCCCTTATTTTGCATCAAGCTCACACCTGAAGCCTAAATTATTGATTGACACCTGGCTGTCAGTGATGATCAGTCTGGACGGTCAGATTCCGTTGCATGTATGCATTCAAATAATAACCTATCAGTCTTACCGTTTTCATAGACAAGTAGATCTGTTTATCTTACTAAATTGGACCTTGTTCTCGGATGATGGTGACTCCCTCAGTGCTTGACTTGTACTGAAATAGATGCTGGTACTCATTTTGGGTGCCGGTACTGTTTATATTTAGGTGCATGAACTCCACAATACTTTTGAGTTCATATTCTATAAGAGGAACATGAGCTCAAGTAGTAGAACGGTGAGCTCCTGCCCGAGTCAAGCACTGCCCATAGCCGGGGAAGTAGTTTCGGGGGACTAGAAAACAGCTATATCAGGACTATTAATACAGGACTATTAAAAGGCTCTGTGCACTACTTTTATTTCATTTTTATTAACATTTTACAGGGGGTGATGCAGTACCCTCAACACCCCTACTTCCCGCAGCCATGGCACTGCCAACAATCCTATGTTTTAGTGTTTCCTCACTTTAATTGTAAACATGGTAGCTAGGCCAACACAGAGACACAGGCTCTTTTTGTTTTTGACCATGAAAGCCAAAATAATATTGAGAAAGACCATTCTTTCATTGCTTTACTAAGTTACTTACTCTGGACTCACTCCCACAGTACTGTAGACCTGATTATAGGCTAGAGACACCATCATCTGAAAAAGGTGTGCAGGAATTCTGTGGCCGTTGGATCCTCGCCAAGACGAAAATGTGATGGTGAGAAAGGGATGCCTCTGCTTTCGAATAATTACCTCCACTGCAATTCGCACATTTATTTCTTCACATTTTACCTGAAGTCAGTCTTTATCCCAATGTTGTTCTGATTTTAGGGCACTTGGAGACACAATTGAGACAGGTTTTTGGCTTGAATGAGAAGCGGGACCAAACTGGCAGAGTTGGAGGTATCTCGAGATGATGATTCAAAAATCTGTAGTCATCATCGACACACGGGCACAAGGTAAGGAGAGTTATAGGATAATTGGTTTAGGCCGCTTAATGGTTCTTCTCCTCAACCTTGCAGCTGAATGGATAATGGCTGATCTACTCCAACAAGCTGGTGTTCTCTCCTGGCATGTTCCCCACCCTCAGTGGCAGCCTGATAGTCAGAGGGGTTTAAATGGTCTTACCTGTTGCGTGCCAACAGAGAGGAAGAGGCGAAACAAGAGGGATAACTGGGCTAAGAAATGTGTCTTCTCCAGCAGGTGGCGTTGTTTTGTTTCTTTCGCTCACCAAGCAAGGAGTTTTTGTATGGCGGTCAATGAGTCTAATTTGGTCATCAAAAAATGGAATGGCTTATTTGCTATGCTTAGGTTGTTACGAGTGTACTGATATAAGTAGAACACGTGACATCTCTGCAACTTTGAGAAAAAACACTTTATATCTGAGTTGTCTCGAGATGGCTATGCATATTCATGACATGAGGCTATTAGCATAGCATCTCTGTCCATTGAATACAAGCGGTTGACGTCAACACCCCTCATCCAATATTCAGAAATATATTAAAATAACGAGATGTATCCACCAATCCAAAGAGAGGAATAGGTGGGAGCTTGATGTTCTGCTCGGTGGACAATGAATCCCGTTGGAGACATAGGTACCTTGTCATTATATAATCTCTGGTGCCACTATAAGAGTTCAGTCATGAGTGCCATGATGGGGGTATGTACATAATATTTGGTCTATTTAAAGAAAATGGTACATATCACAAAAAACACATGCATTCCCATCCTGATGTAGGCTATCTTTAACCCACAATTTTACATCTTGATCCCAGTTAGAGAGATATTATATCTCTGAACTTGTTTGATTCGTAGGAGACAAAGAGTGAGGAGCTGTTGACCCCAACATGGCTGCCTATGACCTCCACCTCCAAATGAAATCAAGCTTTATTTATACAGCATATTTCAGATATGGAATGCAATGCAATGTGCTTCACAGGAGAAAAAAAACGAATTTAAAACAATTAAAATAAAAAATGTAATTTACTACACAACAAACATAAGAGGATACTGAATGAGTAAAAAGCACCGTAAGGAAAAGCATAGCTAAAAAGGTGTGTTTTAAGATCCCTTTTAAATATGTCCACAGTTTCGGCCCCCCTCAGGTTTTCTGGCAGGTTATTCCAGAGGCTGGGGGCACAGTAACTAAAGTCTGCCTCTCCATGCCTCTTGGTCCTAGGCTTTGGGATAGTAAAAAGGCCAGTGCCAGCGGACCTGAGGGACCTACTGGGTATATAACTTAAAAGCATGTCTGACATGTATTGGGGTGCACAATCATGGATTGATTTAAAAACCAATAGAAGAATCTTAAAATTAACTCTAAAACTTACAGGCAGCCAGTGCAGCGACCTTAAAACCGGTGCAATGTGTGCTCTCCGTCTGATATTGGTCAGTGCCAGTGCTGCAGCATTCTGTATGTTTTGCAGTTGACCAATGTCTTTCTTGGGTAGACCAGACAGTCAATCAAATGTATTTATAAAGCCCTTTTTACATTAGCAGATGTCACAAAAAGCATATACAGAAACCCAGCCTAAAACCCCAAACAGCAACCAATGCAGAAGCACGGTAGCTAGGAAAACCTCCCTAGAAAGGCAGGAACCTAGGAAGAAACCTATAGAGGTGGCCAGTCCTCTTTTGTCTGTGCCGGGTGGAGATTATAAGAGTACATGGCCATTAAGGCCAGATTGTCCTTCAAGATGTTCAAATGTTCATAGATGACCAGCAGGGTCAAATAATAATCACAGTGGTTGTAGAGGGTGCAACAGGTCAGCACCTCAGGAGTAAATGTCAGTTGGCTTTTCATAGCCGAGCATTCAGAGGTCGAGACAGCAGGTGCGGTAGAGACAGACAGCAGGTGCGGAAGAGAGAGAGAGAGAATCGAAAACAGCAGGTCCAGGACAAGGTAGCACGTCCGGTGAACAGGTCAGGGTTCCATAGCCGCAGGCAGAGCAGTTGAAACTGAAGCAGCAGCACAACAAGGTGGACTGGGGACAGCCAGTAGTCATCAGGCCAGGTTGTCCTGAGGCATAGTCCTAGGGCTCAGGTCCTCCAGGATGGAGAGCGAGAGAGAGAATTAGATTCACACAGGATACCAGATACGACAGGAGAATTACACCAGATATAACAGACTGACCCACGGCCCCCGGCATAGAGAAAGATTATTGCAGCATAGATACTGGAGGCTGAGATGGGGGGTCCCTGGTTAGAAAGAAAGGATGAAAAGCTTAAGTGTTTTGGCCCTCCAGGACCGGAATTGAACAGCCCTAGATTGACACATTTTGGTTTACTCTTTTATGTAGTCTCCCAACGTATTTCTCAAAGGACACTTCTCTGTACTTCTCTGTTGTTCAGCTGGCATGCTACAGTGGGGGACAGAGCTCTGTGCCAGTGTGACACTGAAGAATGCTCCACAATCATCAATCAAGAAGACTAATAGTGATTATAGGCCTAGCACATGTGAAATGCATGTGATAAGAGGTATATTTTCAGATTGACCTAAATATTGACTGGCTTTCATCAAGCTGCCCACTCAAGAAAAAGCTTCAAACTGTAATCAGTACCTGCAACCTGGTTCAGGTTATCAGTCAACCTACCAGGGTGTTTACAAACAGCACTGGTGAAATCATCCACATGTATTGATCACCTCTTTACTAATGCTGCAGAAATCTGCTTTAAAGCAGTCTCCAAATTCATCGGATGTAGTGATCATAATATAATAGCCATATCTAGGAAAACCAAAGTTCCAAAGGCTGGGCCTAATATAGTGTATAAGAGGTCATACAATACGCTTTGTAATGATTCCTATGTTGAGAATATTTGGCAAATAAGTCTGGCTGCACAGCCGATTGGCAAACGTACTGTAAATTGAGAAATCGTTTGACTAAACTGAACAAAAAGAAGAAACTGTCCTATGAAACAAATACAAATTATATAAAGAATGATAGTAATAAGCTTTGGAGCACCTTAAATTACATTTAGGGAAAAAAGGCAAACTCGCCTCCATCATTCATTGAATCAGATGGCTCATTCATCACAAAACCCACTGATATTTTCAACAACTTTTTTTTTTTATGTCATTGGCATGATTAGTAAACTTCGGCATGACATGCCAAAAACAAATTCTGAACCTACACATCCATGCATAACAGACAAAATTATGAAAGACAAACATTGTAATTTTGAATTCCATAAAGTGAGTGTGAATAGGTTAAAACATTATGGTTGTCTATCAACACTGACAAGCCACCTGGGACTGACAACTTGAATGGAAGATTACTGAGGATGAGAGCAGACGATATTGCCACTCCTATTGGCCATCTCTTCAATCTAAGCCTACAGGAAAGTGCGTGCCCTCAGGCCTGGAGGGAAGCAAAAGTCATTCCGCTATCCAAGAACAGTAAAGCACCCTTTACTGGCTCAAACAGTCAACAAATCAGCCTGTTACCAACCCTTAGTAAACTTTTTGAAAATATTGTGTTTGACCAGATACAATGCTATTTCACAGTAAACAAATTAACAACAGATTTTCAGCGCGCTTATAGGGAAGGGCATTCAACATGTACGGCACTTGCACAAATGACTTGTGGGAGCTGTTTTGTTAGACTTCAGTGCAGCTTTTGACATTATCGATCATAATCTGCTGCTGGAAAAATGTATGTGTTATGGCTTTACATCCCCTGCTATATTGTGGATTGAGAGTTACCTGTCTAACAAAACACAGACAGTGTTCTTTAATGGAAGCCTATCCAACATAATCCAGGTAGAGTCAAGCATTACTTCTTAAAATCTTTAGTAATGACCTGCCACTGGCTCTGAGTAAAGTTTGTGAGTCTATGTATGCTGATGACTCAACACTAAACACGTCAGCTACCACAGCAAGTGAAATCTCTGCAACACTTAAAGAGCTGCAGTCAGTTTCAGAATGGGTGGCAAGAAATAAGTTAGTCCTAAATATTTCAAAAATTAAAATCATTGCACATATATTTGGGACAAATCATTCACTAAACCATAAACCTCAACTAAATATTGTAATAAATTATGTGGAAATTGAGCAAGTTGAGGAGACTAAACTGCTTGGAGTAACCCTGGATTGTAAACTGTCATGGTCAAAACATATTGATGCAACAGTAGCTAAGATGGGGAGAGGTCTGTCCATAATAAAGAGCTGCTCTGCCTTCTTAACAACGCTATCAACAAGGCAGGTCCTACAGGCCCTAGTTTTGTCACACCTGTCCAGTCGTGTGGTCAGGTGCCACAAAGAGGGATTTAGGAGAATTACAATTGGCCCAGAACAGAGCAGCAGGGCTGGTCCTTAAATGTAAACAGAGCGCTAACATGAATCATTTGCATGTCAGTCTCTCCTGGCTCAAAGTAGAGGAGAGATTGACTTCATCACTACTTGTTTTTGTGAGAACTATTGACATGTTGAGCTGTCTGTTTAAACTACTAGCACACAGCTCAGACACCCATGCATACCCCACAAGACATGCCACCAGAGGTCTCTTCACAGTCCCCAAGTCCAGAACAGACTATGGGAGGTGCACAGGACTACATAGAACCATGACTACATGGAACTCTATTCCACATCAAGTAACTCATGCAAGCAATAAAATCAGATAAAAAACAACAACATAAAAATCACCTTATGGAACAGCAGGGAATGTGAAGAGACACACACAGGCACAGACAGTCACATCTTCCTCCGAAGCTGCCTCCTCTCCTTGTTTGGGCAGGCTTCGGCGTTCGTCATCACCGGCTTTCTAGCCACTGCCGCTCCTCATCTCATCATTCCATTTGTTTTGTCTTGTTTATTACACACACCTGGTTCATATCCCCTCATCAGTACCTGTATAAGTGTTCCCTCTGCCCCCTTTTCATTGTATGTTATTGTTTATTGTGAGGAGAATGAAGCTCGGTTGAGCTCCTTGTATTTTTGTATTGCCAGGTTATTTTCCCTGTGTACCTTGTTGATTCCAGTGCGCCTGTTTTGCGCACTGGACTGCTTTTGACGCATTACCGCATAACTCTGTATTCC